TAATCATATACAAAATTTATCACACATTAGGGCTTAACTGGCACGTTTGAGTTATTTATAGTAAGATAGTTCATTTAGGAAAGGCTATTTACAGTGAGAGATTATTCTGGTCCCTGGTTTGAATAGACATTGGATTCCATTTGATTTAGTTGTAGGGGCCAATAAAAGTATTTTATCCTGGTGATCAAATAAAGGAGACAAAACTTTATGAGAGTAGCAGATTAGAATTGTGGCAAATTATTATTTTATTTATGTTGCAATTAACCTTAAATATTTTGGAATAAACCGTGAGCTGTGTCTCTTTAAATCCTAATTCCAATGTGCACTGATGAGGTGGTTATGAGAATGTGAATAGTCACAATCTAGAATAATTACTTTAAGAGTTGGTGATTTAGCACAGGAAGCATTGTTCCCTGAATTGACAACAAAGCATGTGATAATTGCGTAAGTGTTGGTATAAATAATGAAGCCAGTGGGGTTTAGAGTGTGAGTCATGAACAGATCATTCTCGAAGGAAGACATACAGGCGGCCAACAGACACATGAACAAATGCTCAGCCTCACTAATCATCAGAGAAATGGAAATCAAAACCACACTGAGATATCACCTAACTCTAGTGAGAATGATCATCATTAATAAAACAAAAAACAACAGATGCTGGTGAGGGTGCAGAGAAAAGGGAATACTTCTACACTGTGGGTGGGAATGCAAACTAGTTCAACCTCTATGGAAAACAGTGTGGCAATTCCTAAAGGAACCAGAAACTGACCTTGCATGTGACCCAGCAATTGTTCTTCTGGGAATATACCCAGAGGACCTTAAATCATTCTACGAAAAAGATATCTGTGCACACATGTTTATTGCAACACTATTCACAATAACCAAAACGTGGAAGCAACCATGCTGCCCATCTAAACGACTGGAACAAAAGAAAAAGTGTGGTACAAATAGATACACAATGGAATATTACACAGCCACAAAGAAGGACAAAATTATGGACTTTGCAGCAACTTGGATGGATTTAGAGTCTATCATACTCAGTGATCTACCACAGAAACAAAGAACTAGTTCCATGTTCCACATGCTCACACTCATAATTGGACTCTGAACATTTACCATAATACAATAAGAAAGAAATTGGTCATAGCCAGAAACTGCTGGGGCTGGGGGTGGGAGAAAATAACATTAATAAGGGTACTTGATCTCAAACCAGGCAAAGTGGGGACCAAAAGGAGACCCCAACTTTACCTACACAATGACCACTTGTAAACCTAATCTTGAATTGTACCCCACATGGTTAAAATAAAAAAAGTGTGAGTCAGGAGGAGAGACCCAATGCCCTTGAATTGTTATGACCGGAGTGCTAGAACGACGTCACCAGCACACCGAGGGTTGAATTATGAGTCCTTTAATAACTGGTGGTCGAGATGGGGCTCATACCTCTTAAAACTCTCGCCCCCGAGTGATGCAGGGAGAGGGTTTATAAAGGCAAAAACCACAAGTGGGCTACATAGTACAGGGTACAAACATAAGGAACATCAAAATTAAGAGGAGAGCAAAAATGTGCAAATGTACACAAATAAATGCAGAACTTGTGGTTGGGGCGTTTCCAATGTTTTGGGGAAAAAAGAGTGTAGGTCCCCAGTAATGGAAATGTTACAACCTATGATTACAGGAAGGCTATGTAGGGGGTCATCTCTGGGTTAAAACAGCTAAAATTGAGAATCTGTTTCAAAAGGGAAGTACTTCTATTTAATTAAACAATTGTAGGCTGTTAGTTTTCAGATGGGTATTTCAGGATAAACATGAACATAAGACATGGCAGGCTCACAGTTCAGGCCAGCTGTGTCATGTTCTGGGATTGCACCTCCTGTCCCTTCTTCTCTCTTCTCCCTTCTTCTCTCTGCTTTGGAGAATCCTACCCCTGATCTCACTGCAAGGACAGCAGTCCTGTCACAGAACCTTACTTGTGTCTACTTTGGAGTGTCTTTGCTTCACAAACAGTAATCTCCCTAGGATCAGGTAGGTTGTTTAAATACTCTGTCTTCCTTATTGTACTGATTGTACACGTATGTGGTAAAATTTAATAAGAGAATTTTTTTCGTTGTAACAAAAGACTTGATATCAAATTAGTTGGGGGTGGGTATTTAGGGCATCTGATTTCTAACTACCAGGTGCTACTGATTACTAACGTCTTGGTTTCCTAAAAAACAAAACAAAACAAAACAAAAAGAAAGCAAACACAAAAGACCAAGATGAAGCAGTAGAGAGCCTCCATGGGTGTTGAGGACAGTGCGAAACCGAATTCAAAATGGCTCAACAGTCTCAGGGAGCCCAGCCAATGCAATCAGAGCTTAAACCCAATGGGATTCTAGGTCATCTCCCTATTCCTGGGAGAGGTTGATTTGAAGTGAAAGCTGTAATCTTACAATGACATGGGGAATTAGACAATTTCTCTGAAGAGGAATTCTGAAACAAGGGTGAAGGCTGAGAAAAAAAGGTTAGGACTTCAGCAAATAATAGAAAAATAGACCATTTCCTAATGTTAGCCCAAGTGTGGATAGGTCCTGAGAGCGTGACCTTGGTCCATTAACTAACTTTGTAAATATAGAAAGAGATTGTGGTTGACAGGGTAGATGATAAGATTAATGTGAACCTACTACCACGCCCCACCATCAAACCCCTAGGCATTCTAAAATAGAAACAGTGGGAACATGTTTTCTAACCAGCACACTGAATTTAGAGGAAACAGTTGAATCCTGTCTTGGTGTCAGGATCAGCCAATATATTGAAGCATGCCTTGATGACTATGTTACCACAGCTGCTGTTGACCACATGGACATTGAAGAGGCCATAGACCTCCTGATATTGGCTTGTCAGCTCTCTTGCTTCCTTAAGCTATTTTCAGATTCTTGAAAGGGGTCTGATTTATTTTCTTTAAATTTTTAACAAGTTTTTATATTACCTTACCATTTGTCACTGAAGCATTTTCTTTAGAAATACATTCTGTAAAATATACTCAATAAAACAATGGTAAAGTGGAAGATTTACACGTTTCTGGTACTTTTCTCACTATTATACCATTACACTGTGAACCAAAGGCAGTGACTGCATTTTTAGGTGATTTTCATGGGTGTGAAGCTTGAGGAACACAGTTCATGGAGGTCTCTGGTTCCTTGGACAGAACAGGGAAGCAGGTTCAGATCAGTGTCAAGTCTTTATCACCTCAGTGAGTCCCTGTTACGCTAGTTCCTCAAGCTGTGTTCTGTGTTTTTTGCAGACCCTAGAGATCATGTAAGGTAGTAAAAACATGGGCCCTATATCGGCTCAAGTGTTTCTTTGCTGATAATTTTTGAACACTTGATGATTGTGTGGTGGGCTTTGATGATGATGAGAAGATTAAGTACCTGAGATCAATAGGCAGTAGGGGAGACAACTGTAAACCAGTCATTCCAGTTCTCAAAGTTATGTAAAAGGGCTATGGTAGGAATGACAACATGGCATAATAACAGCGCAGAGGAGGGGCACCATCTCAGGAAGTCAGGAAATTGGAGATCTTTTCATCTGATGGGTATTGGGGAAGGAAGCACGGGTATTTTTTTTTAAATTTTGTTTTTGTTTCTGTTTCTGGTTTTTTTTTTTGCCAATTCTGTACTTTGTGTGACAAAGTAACAAAAAGTGTGAAGCTTGCAAAATGACAAGAAGTTCAAGCTAGCCACAGAAGAGTCTAATACACTAGACAGCTAGAAAGGAAGTCCATAAAAGTTGAGTCGCTCTTGAGGAAAAACGTCTTTCTTCCTCATCAACATGATCAGTTTGGACTGGAATTCAGAGGCTATTCCAACCAACTGCCCCGGTGACTTTATAATCAGAAACAAATCAGAGACTGAAATTTCAAGGCCTGATTGAAAGGTCATAATGAAAACAAGTCTAGGGTGCATATCTTATACTTTTTAGTTCCTTTTTCCAGTCAGTAGACTCTTTTTGTTTCCCCACACTCTTGCCATCTTAACATCTATCAGATGTGCTGTTCCTTGCAAACCATAGAAGTAAAGCAGGTACCTCAGAGTTTTACTTTGCAGAGCTCTAATTGTCAGTACAGTGAATTATCACTATTTTGTCTTATAGTTCTGCCTTTTTTTTGACTTGGAGTCTCACTCTGTTGCCCAGGCTGGAGTGCAGTGGCATGATCATGGCCACCGCAGCCTTGACCTGCTGGGCTCAGGCGATCCTTCTCCCTCCGTCTTCCAAGTAAATTTCTGCCCATTTTTAATGGGGCTATTGCTTCTTCTCTTATTGACTTTTAAGTGATACTATAATTTTAAAAATATTCTAATTGTCTGTGATACAAATTATAAATATTTTCTTTATTCTGTCATGTATCTTTCTTGCTTTGTTTATATCTTTTCTATGGGTAATTTCACGTTTTCGTTAATCTTTTGTATCTTCCTTTTATTTCATACTGAAAAACAGTTGCTATATTTTAGTACTATTTTCAAAATCTTCCACGTTATCTACTTTTAAAAGTTTAGTTTTTTGTATTTAAATCTTTTAAACATTTGAAATTAATTTGAGTATACAATATATATGGGAGACTCCACTTTTTTTCCGATATGGCTTCTATTAACTGAACATTCCATATTTGTTTTGCTAACAGAAGTGCCAAATTTGTCATTTACTAAACTTCTTATGTGAATTTTTGATTTCTAAAAATTATTAGTTTATTATTTTAGCAAAACTAATAATTTTATCAGTTTTTAAATCAAACTTTTGAGTCTGCTTTATTGATGTTTGAATACTCTGGTGCCAGTATCGCTGTGCTAATTGTTGGAATATTTTAACATGCAGTTACAGGTAGCTGCCACTTATATTCTTTCTTAGATAGAGTTGCATTTAGTATTTTGCTTATGGTTTTTAATATATACTGCACAATAAATTTGCCTACTTCCAAAAACATTTTACATATTAATTGGAATCACATTGAAATGCACACACTGAGGTTTAAGAATTGATATATTTACTTTGATCTATAGTTATACATTTTTTGTTGTGTGTTTTCAGTAACATTTAACATATTTTTATACAAATTTAAAACATTCCTTATACATTTTTTTCAGAAGCATTTATGTTGATAGTAGTGCAAATTTGGTATTTTCTTCCATTATATTTTCTCACTTGTTTCCCATTTCTTTAAATTATTTTAATCAAAAGTAATTTTGTCTTTTGAATGTCATTAACAGAAAATTTGTCTATTTAATTCTTGAGCATTTTCTTCCCTTCACTAGCTAACTTAATAATTTCAGGTAGTGCAGCAATTAACACTTTCCCAGCCATCTCAATTTTCTGTGACAACTGCTCATTTTTTTTAGCTGCTTCAATCTCTTTTTTTAGTCGATTTATCTCTGCATTCAATTCTGCAGCTTTCTTTTTAAACCCTTCAGTAAGCAGTTCATCTTGGACCTATAAAGGAGAAAAAGTTCACTTTTGAAAATCCTGGATTATCAAGAGTCAGGAGTTTGTACTTCACAACCAGGAGCTAAGCCTGTGTGTCTACTTCATTAGACTGCTCTTTGGAGGTTGTCCAGTGTGTCAATATGTGTGAACCTGGTGTGGGAGTATCCATGGCTTACACTTTCCTAAAAGTTTCCTCAGCACCATCTCACTGGGGTTGGGGAGACGTTAGAACTAGATCAGGACTGATCATATTGCCTGTAGCGCATTTCAGCCCCAACGATGCCCTTTGGGAAGGAATGTAGCTACTTCTCAGTTCCACTGGAAGTAGTCTGGTACAGCCATCTAAGAAAATATGGTAACTGCTGACCCAGTAAATTTTATTACGCTCCAGTTCAGACCAAGGAAATAATTTTTCTCTGTGCTTTATAGTAACCCCAGGTTACTAAGGCAGATTTGGAAAGAAATGTAGGAAGTTTTAGAGCTTTCAGTACCTTGCATTTTATATCGCGATTACTCTGATATTTTCTTTTCTTTTTTTTTTTTTGAGTTGGAGTCTCACTCTGTCGCCCAGACTGGAGTGCAGTGGCCGCTCCCGGCCACCACAGCCTCGACCTGCTGGGCTCCGGTGATCCTTCCGCCTCAGCCTTCCGAGTAGCCGGAATTACAGGCACGAGCTACCACGCCCAGCTGATTTTTTGATTTATTGTAGAGATGAGGTCTCGCTGCCCAGGCGGGTCTCGAACCCGCGGGCTCAGGCAATCCACTCACCTCAGCCTCCCAAAGGCGCGGGATTACAGACTGAGCCACCAAGCCCGGCTACTCTGATATTTTCAAGACCAGACGATCTATTTCAGGTCTCTTTTGATGATTGTACCAAGAATCCTAAGCACTATAGGACCAGAGGACTAAGGCCTTATTCAACTACAGCCCATAAGACCACTATTTAATCACCACAATAGCAGCCCAGTTTCCTCAGGGACCTTATTTGCACACTCCACAGTCTAACACTCCAGAGGTGCCAGAATGTTGTGGATTTCAGCACTTCAAAAAGATCCAGATGGATCTGAGGCACTTAGTGAATCACATGCCATTTCAGCTTCCTTGTTAGAGGACAAATTTGCCTAGAATTTTGTCCAACCCTTCCTGGAGAACCAGGGCATTGTCTGTCCGGCACTGCCCAGGTCCTGGTTGGACTTACCTTTAGGTAATGCTCCAGCATACTTTTCAACATTATCACAAAGTTTTCTTGATCCTTCTTAAACTTCTCTCTCAGATGGGCTATATTTTCTTGGTGACTTCTCTCTTGAGCCTTCATCTTTTGCTTTTGCTCCTCCTCTTTCTGTCTTAGCTGTTCTCGTTCCCGCTCAGCTTTTTCCTTCTCTGCTCTCACCACTGCCCCCATGCAAATTTTAAAAGGGAAGAAAATAACAGGTCAAACGTAATGCTCTTGAGTGCAGAGATCAAACCTACTTTGAAAAGGTGACCAGAAAATCTCTGAATTCATTTAATGGCCACTTCACCTAGGAAGATTTCAGAATGTGATGTCCGGGTGATGTATAACCACAAGTCTCTTTGTTATTTTCAGATACAACAGAGTGTGCTTTTCACAGAAGGAGAGGAAACTTCTTGTTTTAGGAATGTCTTCATGAAGGCTTTCAAGAAAAAGGCTTTGCAGGAACCTGCACGCCCCCCTGAGAGCTGAGCTCTGCCCCTGCTAAACCTACCTTCTAAGGCCTTCTTTTCAGTGGTAAGGGCTTTGTCTGACAGCAGAATGGATTCCTCTACTGTTGCCTGAGACTTCAGGAAATTTTGGAGGACCTCGTTTGCCTAAAGAATCAACAAAAAGCAAACATATGTCAGGCCACAAAGTCTCCTCTTGGGGATATTATTATTCAATAAAATCTCAAATCTGACTGTGGAAATTTTGTATGCTATAGTGGTTCACTATGGCCACAGTATAAATTCCAGGCCTACTGGCAGGACATGGAAACACCCACTCGTGGCTCCTTCCTGGCTCTCCAGTCCCCTTTCCCATTGAAGTCTCTCCACAACCCACTGCACGTTACAGCCAGCCAGACTTATGTGTAGCTCTATAAACCCGTATTATCCATTGTTGATGGGCATTTGCGTGTTCTTTCGCCTGAAAGCTCTTCTAGCCTTTCTTAACAAAGCTATTGATACTTCTCTTATACCTCCTGGAACCATCTCTGAAGAACTTTTCCTCAGTGGCTATCTGGACTCTGAATGGCTGCCCAGTACTCTAAGCTGTTCTGCCAGCTCGGCATTTGCTGGCTTTGTGACTTTGGGCAACTTATGAACTCCTCTGTGCAAAACATTTTTCAACTGTGTAATGTAGGTAGTAGGAATATGTATTTCATAATATTACTCTGAGGACGAAATGATAACCCAACAAGAGCACCCAAGACCATGTCTGATATATAGGAATTGAGTACTCAACATGAGTTAACAACCACTACCACCAACACCACCATTATTTAATCATCATCATCTTCATTGTCATCATCGTCACCACCATCTTTGCATATCAGTGTGATCACCCTTGCCAGTTGATAATTTTTCTTCATCTCTGGTAAGACCATCAGTATCTTGAGAACAAAGTTGTGTCTCTTATATGGACTTGCACTCCCTGAAATTAGCACAAATACTATCACGTCTGATAAATAAAAGAAATGTTTTGTTTCTTCTGGATTCCTGAGTCTAAATCCTTTTGGGGGGTAAAAATTTCTGGTTTATCTAAGTGTATCTAATTGTGTATATAAAAACTTAAAATGTTAAGATATGGTCATACTCTGCTTTCTCTCCACAAATGGTGCTGTGGCCTTAGATTTTCAGAATGAGAAATAAAGACCCTCTCAATATACTTTACTGCTCATCCGTCCACCCCCCTTGTTCCTCACCTTAACTCCTTTCCTGGACACTATGTTATAGTCTTGTTCAAACTTTTTCTTTGCTTCTAAGTATAGCTTGTGTCCTCCAGAAGCAAAAAAAGTTCCTTCTGACAGGGTTTTCATCAGGGGTTTTGAAAGCTTCTCAAGCTCAGCCTGGCAATACTCGAGAGATGCCCTTTCATTTTGCTCTAAGAAATCTTCCTTCTTTATCTCTATGGTTACCTGCCAGGAAAATAGAGGGACATGCGTCAGAGATAAACTATTAGAAGCGAAGGTCCAACTGTGATCCTCTTGAGAGAAGCAGTCTGATGGTCTCAGAGTGGACTGGCATGTGACATAGACCAGGAGTCAGAAGAGTTGCCTTAATCCCAGTTCTGCTCAATTATCTGTGACCTGTGGAAAGTCCCTTAACTCCCTTAGTTTGAGTGTCTATTTCTGTAAAAGGTGGTATTGGAGAAGACATGAACTCTGTGGTAGATTTAGTGTTAGTAAGAGTAACAGTGATCCATTCATTGACAATAAACAATAGAAAATTCAATCACAACTGGAAGTCGAATTTCCTCAGAGAAGGAGGATCCTATTCATAAAAATATATGCATAACAAAAGCCTTACAGCACTGAGTTAAATGTACTCTGACTAGAGTTTGGAACTCTCCATGAATTTTTAATAAAAATTTACTGTAATAAAAATTTGGGTGAAGATGTAGGAATAGAAATTTTCTCTGTGATTGAAAATTATAATCCAGCTGACTTTCTGAGACTTTCTGGAAATGAACAAAGTGAGTTTTCACTTGTAGGTGGATCAAAGACAAATTTAATGACAATGTGTTTGTGGTAATGAGAATTAAGGGCCATTGCCTACTGGACTCTGGTGTGGTCATGCATTCTTGGAGCTATGGCACTGCCGTGTTTCCTGGCTTTGACCCCTTCTGGTACTTTGAGGAGGTGAATCTCCTCTTTCTCTCTCTCTAATATATTTTCTAAATAAACTATATTTTCAACAACAAAAAAAGAGAGAATTAGGATGTTCCCCCAAATTTCCTTTCCTGAGGAATACATGCTGTATAATCCCCGGGCTTATAAATCTGATGAATTTTATCTCAGTGGTTAGGTTATGTTACATGGCACAAATTTACTTTAAGAAATGGAGGCAATGGTAGGGTGTTGAGGAATAAGCCACCTTAGATAATCACATGGGATCTTTAAAATCATAGTTTGTCCCAGCTGTTGGCAGAAGAAAGTCAGAGATTAAAACATGAAAAAGATCGAATGCTCCATTGCTGGCTTGAAGATGGAAGGGAGAATGTGAAGCTATATGAAGAAGCACCACCAGTCTGACAGCCAGAAAAAAAAGGGGTGCATCAGTCCTACAACCAGAAGGAAATGAATTCAGCCAGCAACCTGAATGAGCTTGAGGCTCCCCGGGGTTGCTGATGAGAGTACATTCTAGCTGAAACCTTGTTTTCAGCTTTGCGATGCCCTGAGCAAAGCATCCAGACCTACTGTGCCTAACTTTTAGCCTACAGAAACATGAGCTTATATATGTTTGTTGCTTTAACTTAATAAATTCCATGGTAATTTTTAATTCAGCAGTAGAAAATTAATAGAGTTCTTTTAGTAAGCTATAGACTCACTGTTACTGATGACAATGATTCCCTCTTTCAGGGTCTTGGTCTTTGTGTTGGCGAGAATATAAGAGCAGAAATTTTTTGATTGAACCTGGAAATTCCTATCCAGCTGACCTTCTGACACATTCTCCATATGAAATAAACATATTTTTGCAATTTGTTGGCCAAAGACAAAGCACTTCTGTTTTAGAAAGCAACCCCTATAGAGTCCTGTCATTCACACAAATCCAGGCTCTGTCTACCATTGTAAGAACGTGAGTTACTGAGTCAAAAGCATCATTCCAGAAGGGGTCAGAAAGGAAAAATACTAAGACAAATTACCACAAGCTGCTTCTGGAATTCCTGATTTTCATCCTTGAAGGAGCGCTCCATGAACACTGCAATGGCTTCCTTCTCACAGGCCGTATGCTCATCCAACAGCTCCTGGAGTGTGTCTGTGGGAAGCCTCAGTCGCTGGGCCATCTGATGGCTGTAGTGGTCGGCTGCCTTCTGCACAGCTGCTGAGTTCTCAAGCCAGGCCAGAGTTGTCACTGCATTCTCCAAACAGGGCACCTCTCCTTTCTTAATGACATCCACGTAAGTCACCACTAAAGTCCGAAGTCCTGAATGAACCAGGACATTTTGGAATAAATGTTAATTTTTCACTAATTGGTTTGTGGTTTCATGAAGCAGATTTCTAAAATTGCAAAATATTCTCAATGAATATTTCTGTTATTTTTTCCTTTTAAAAATTCACCCCTTTCTCACAGCATTGTTGTTTTTCCTATTCTCGCTCTCTCATTCAGTTCTTCATGTTACAATTTAAATTACTAATTGCAAATAACATGCTCATGGATACCCTGGAAAAATACAGTCCCAGTCAGAGAAAATAAAAAAAGGAATAAGTTAGATAGGCAAGAAAAGGTACATAAATAAGACCAGCTACATAATTTATGTGGGCCAGTACAAAGTAAATATGTGGGGCCACTACTTAAAAAAATATAATCAAGAGTTCAAAACATCTTGTCCAGTGTTAGTGTTGTAGCCAATGAGGGTTATTCAAGGTACAATTATTGCTAAGAATTCAGAACAGTGCAATGACTCAGAGCATTAAACCAAGCATGGACCCATCTCAGGCATGGCACTACTAAGCTGCAAAAGTCACTGCCCATGAAGCCTGCCTGTACATATGATTAAATGTAATTTTGATTCAAATTTACTACAAGGTTGTGGGATCTCAAGTTCTTCTATTATTTGACTTGCATAAATTCACAAAATATCTTCTACATAATTACTGACAAGAACTTACTTCTTAAAATGTGAATATTCTTTAACTGCATTGTGCTTTTTTTAAATCAGTGAATTAAGTTATTGAAATATACTAGGTTTCACTAAACACATATAAGGATACTTTAACAAGAAACATGCTTCTTTTTATGGCATGAACATCTGCTTCTCCACATTTAGATACAGACGAAAAGCAAAATTATTCACAATCCCTCGATATAATCAAAGTTTTACCACTCAAAACTGAGTATAGAGAAGTGCTTTAAGGCAAAGGTAGTAGACTCACTGCTCCCAGTGACAACGATGCCCCCTCTCAGGGTCTTGGTCTTTGCGTTGGTGAAGATATAAGAGCAGAACTTTGCTGACTGAGTCTGGAAATTTTTATCCAACTGGTCTTCTGTCACTTTCTCCATACTAAATAATAGAGATTTGTCATTTGTTGGCCGGTCAAAGACAAAGCACTTCCGTTTTGGAAAGAAATGCCTGATGCACTCTCTGGGCATGTTGGAATTTGGAGTTTTGGGATTCTTGCCTGCAGAAGTGGAGAAACAGCAGTAAGGCAACAGCCATAAGGAAGTGGGCTGAAGACTTTCATTTTCAGAAATCTGTGCAACATTTCAGCTTCTGTGCCTGGAAATCTTCTTTATTCCAAACATGTGCTACCTCATTGGAAATCAACTTGTGACAGTCACCAAAGGTGAGGAAAATCTGTTGTTTCTATTCAGAGATGAGACTGAAGGAAGCATTTCTGGAGAGGAGGTGGAGACACCTTCCCATGTATAGATATTTATGATGGAATGGAATTTGATGTGCATGGAGATCCCATCCCTCACTAACCCTTCCCCCACCGAGGCAATGCTCTGATACCTGAAATCAGCTTCAAAGCATCCTCCAGGTATTCATCTTCCGTGATTGTGCATTCCTCTATCTTCATCTCCAGGGTGAAATCCCGAACAGTCCAAACAAAGTCTGGAAAGAAACTCACAAAATCGGTGGAGTCTTCACCTTCACCGGGTGTTACAGAGGCTTTTGCCCTTATCAGCTGTGTTAGTTCAGTGACATAGCTGGGAACTTAGCTAAGGAAGGAGAAGTGTCCTACACCACACTTTTCAGATCTCACTTGGAAATCAATTGTATAAACATTCCTTTTGCCCTGTGTCCTCTCTCAACTATGACAATTGAGTCATAGGAAAGATGAAATAAGTCTCAGTTGCCATATTGGCAAACTCCATAAATCTTGGTAGTTCAGTTTCTAGAAGGATACTGCAGCTGTTCCAGGGCTTGGTGGTTGATGGTACTCATGCTGTTGTAGACAAAGGCGCTGCTCAAAAGCACAGACAGGGCGAAGATCCATGAGTCATTCTTAGGGTCACTCTAGAAAGCACATTCGAAAAACAGAAAAGAGACTGCTACTCATTCACTGACTTTTTCATTCATTAATACACCGACTAGAACATAGTAGTCATTAAAGAACTCACATGAAAGAGCAGGCATTATTTCTTTAGCAAATTTTTCACCATGGCCAACATTAGAAATACAATGTAATTTAATTAAATTTAACAACTCTTCATTGTGCATCTACTATCTACAGGGTGGTTGCATCTGGTTGTGTGGATGCAAAATTCCATGTGACAGTCTCTGCCCTCAAGAAGATGACTTTCTGGATGGACAGACTAATCAGCAAACATACAACTGCAGTTAAGCAAATAGTCTCCACCAGGAGTGGAACCAAAAGCTACAACGTAAAAGAAAAAGGAGTACATTTAACAAATGAAAGCGAGCACTCTGTGAATTAAGAACAAAAGGAGGATGCATCTGACTGTGAAATCATGACAGTGAGTAAAAAAAGTTGGGCGTTAAAAAAATGATAGAACGTGGACTTGTGGAAATTAAGGGGTAATTTCCCAGGTAGATGTCCCAACACAAGCTGAGTCAGGATAGCTAAAGCACACTCATATACAGGTGTTGTAGAGTTATTCCATCTGACTGGAGACGTGTTCAGATGTGTGGGTGTGGAAGACAAGGTTAGAAAGAGAACAAGATGGTCTTAAAGGTGAGGGTAGTAGTATGAGTTCTTACCCAACTCATGCCACCTGTTCACAGCTTAGCAAGCAGTTCTGCTGCCATTAGTCATTTCTTATTTGGTGTGCTTTGCTTTGTTTCCTTGTACAAATGCAATCACATAAAAAAGAAGCGAGTTAAGGTCTATTTCACAGTCAAGTCCATTTTCTTTCTTTCTTTTTTTTTGGCTGGGATGAGGGAAAATTGGAGTATCATTAATTAACTAGAAGTAAATTTGAGGGTTCTGGAAGAGGAAGTAAGGAGACAGTAGTTTTTGTTTTAGTGGAAACAAGTGCAGAAAAGGAATAATCTTATTACATTTAAATATAAGATATGATGAAGTTGTGAAGCCTAAGTGGCATTCTTTCTATTGCTCCTTATCTTCATTTATATTGAGAATTTCAAAAGTTTTTTAAAAATTAAAAAATATTAATTTCTAGATTTTCCTCATTTTTTGCAATAATGGAAGCCAATGATCAATTACTACTACATCTAATGTAGACTTGAGCTAATATAAAAAAGGAGAAACGACTATTTGCAACAGTCTAATATAACTTACCTGAAATTATCCTCTTTCTAATGCCTTTTATTGGTCAAGATCAGGCTTTTTAGAAATTATTGAAGAATAAATTTCCTAAAACCAGAAATCTGGACTAAAAATCATTATGCATGTTCCTGGCAAAGCTGAAATTTTTATGTAGATCTTTTTAAACAGATCACTTCAAATGTAAAATTCTTATGTCTAGGTTCCTATATCCAACTTCATCAATTCACACACTTTAACTGGTAGCTCCCACTTACTGGATGGGATGCAGTTTAGATGCTATTTTCTCAGGGAACTCTCTGACTCACATGACTGAGTTGCATCCATGCACCATTTACTGATCATACAATGTACTTACTGTCTCCTCAGCTAACCTCTAGGTCTTTACTGTGTTCACGGCTGTGTCTGTATTACTTGGCAAGACAGCTCTAGATTGAGCTGCTCAATAAGTATTTATTCAATTATATATTAGCCACAGTGTTAAAAATAAGATGAAAATCTAACCCTAAGATACTAATACATTTCTGATCTCAAAACAGTTAAGGGTAAGAGAATTTAACCCTGTTATCCATCATTTGCACTTACAATTTGCAAGAATATGTCACAGAAGCTGAATTAAGATGGCGAATTAAAAGGCATGACCAAAGAAATGCTTCCACGACTCTCTGTCTTACCTTTTTCACATCACCCAGGCCCTCAGTGTCCAGAAGGACCAAGGTGTGGTTTTGCTTGATTGGGTGGGGTACACACCACATCCAGATGCCCTTGGTTTTAGATCTCACCGTGGAGCCCAGAGGGAAGCCTGCAAGGGAGGAGGAGAAGCAATATCCAGTACAGGAGACTTTAGGCAGCCCAGAACTACAACGGGTAGACTTGTAAGAATGTCAGTGCCTGGCAGGGAGAAGGTTTGCTTCCGTTTCCATAAGGACAGCCAATCCAACCTTTGGACATATTTATAGCTTTTGAAAGAAATATTTTGTGTCCCCTACTCATGTCATTCCTTCAAAGGCTCAAATGATGTCACATTATAGAAGCAATGTATACGAGCCTGTGTATTTGTGCTGATGCACAAAAGGAAATGAAAAGCATAGATAAATAGAATCAAAGTGATGGCTGAGGTGAGAGATGACTGAGAGGAGAATGTATGTATCCACTCTTCTTTGTGCTTCCGTTTCATTCATTGTGGCCATGTTAAGAGAAGACTGCCTAAATGGAGGAGACACAGACACAGGAAGGGCAGCACTGGCAGTCCCTCCAGTCCACTTCTGACGAAACGGGCTTCCAGTAATGGGGCAGTGAGGACTGCATCTTGAAATGTATAGCAGAATTCATAATGCAGGGCTCTGAATGCCTACATAATATGGCCCAACTTTTGACAACAAAGTCACTTAGGTTTTGAGATAAATAGTGACAAAACCAAAAACAGACCAGAACTACAATGGGTAGACTTGTAAGTATGTCAGTGCCCGGCAGGGAGAAGGTTCACTTCCACTTCCATAAGGACAGCCAATCCCACCTTTAAACATATTTATGACTTTTGAAAGAAATATTTTATGTAAGTGAGTTGAGAGCAGGAATAGAGGAATAATTAGGAATGGAGATTCTGGAGCAGTTAAAAGGGTTCTAGAATTTTAGAGACAGGATAGACTCTTGGACCCTTCAGTCCAGTGGCTCATTTTGTGGATAATGAAACTGAAACTTGGAAACTGTAACTGGTCGGCCCACCTCGTTACACATAACAGTCTGCCCTTCCACACAGTGTCCTGACTTGGGTCTGGTGCTCTGTGGGCTACACTGAGCTCCTGGCACAGGTGGACAGTCTGTTGTAACATGGTGATCAATTAGGGTGCAATAGTGGGCTAGAGAATGAAGACATTAGTACAGTTTGGAGATGAAAAGAATAGGAGAGTTGTGAAAGAGAGAAGAGGTTCATTAATCTGCAAAGGTTTTATGTGTCGCTGAGGAAAGGCTATAATTTCTAGCATGGCAAATAGGATTTCGAGATGTCAGTTATCTTTGTTCACCTCACATTTTTCCCTGTTGGATTTGCCTTTCACTCTCTTCTCCCTGACCAATTCCTTACGAGGTTGACCTCCATGGCCTCTATCTGCAGAGCTTCCTCGTCGTCAGCTTCTGGTGAGATTCACATTCAGGAGAGACCAGTGCGAATGGAAGCACATACATGTTTTCCCTCACTCTCCTGCTACTGTCCCTCAGTATCCCAGTGGCTTATTCTTTCTCAGGTCACAGCTCCTTTCACGCTGGCTCATTAATAGCTGTGACAAGCTTCCATGGTCTATTTACCTGTTTGGGTGTAGAGGTGATAATGGATACCCTGTAACTGTTCCTGCTACTCTCAGGGTTCATCTCCATCCCCCATCGTTTCTCTTTATCCTGCCTAAGCCCTGCAAACAGTCTCTCCATTAAACGCTCTCAATCATCCCTTGGGCGGGACATCGGTGTCCAGCCAGGACTTGGACTGATACATTAGCTGGCTTATTAGTTCACAACAAACCCAACCTCTAATGCCCAAAGTGAGAAAAGCAGGGTGTAGTTATTAGTCACAGTCGTAGTCATCACAGGCTTAAAAAGTGGAAAACAAATAAGTCATTGCCCAGGAGAGAGCATGGTGAACTGGTCCTGCTTATAGACTTTAACTAGGATCAGATGTTTTTCTTTCTATAGCTTCCATGACATGGGACAGTGACACAGTCATAATTTGGATATTTAAAATATTCTGAGATTAAGGAATTTCCTCTGCAGAGCACTGGGAAATTACCTCATTATTAATTGATGATGTCATTTTAAGCAGAAAATGCAAAGGATGGTGTTGTAACTCCCAGACTAATATTTATCTCTTAATTTTAAAGATAATTCCTCAAATAAAACCTATGACTTTTGACCAGACAAGGAAAAGTATCTTCCCTGGTCAATAATTCTTTTAAAAGATAGATAAGGATGAAATATTTTGCTTAGAAGCAGTAGAAAATAGAGAAGAAAAAGAGGAGAGATGAGGAGGGAGGAAATGAAGAGTGATAGGGAGAGGAGCAAGAGAGAGAAAAGTGTGGGATTCTGAGAGTTTGGTGGACCACAGTTGAACCCCTAGTGATGCTGAGTCAGAGAGGAAGTAAGACATTTCAAAATAATGGCTGTATATTCTAAACAACCAGAGCCACATGGAGACCCTCCATAAAATCAGTAAGAACCATATGGCACAACCTAGTAATAAAGATTCTGCAAAACAGATTATACAAATTTTAAATAAATATGTAAAAGGTTCTCAAACTTACTTATAGTGAAGCATATGATATTATTCAACTATACAGTCACCAGATTAGCAAAAGCTGAAATGTCTGACATTACCAAATGATGGGAAGGATGTAAAGAAATCTCAATTACTGCTAGTAATTATATAAATTGCACAAAAAGTTGTCTGTCTGATGTTGCATATACGTCTGAACATCCCCACACACACACACCCTTTGACTTTGCAATTCTGCTTCTGGATATATAACAAAAGGAAAGTTTGAGTACTCGTGCACCAAGATATACATACAAAAACATTCATGCTAATCGAGTTTATAAGAAATAAAATCTGAGGATAATATTAATGTTCATCAACAATAAATGCATAACCAAACTAGTATTTTAATGCTTTAAAGTAGTGAATACAAATAAATTACAGATATATGCGAGAAAGTAAATGATGTTTATTAACTTCTTGATGACAAAAACAAACAACATATAAAACTACATACAGTATAATTCCTATTATATAAACTTTAAAAGAAGTTAAAAAGCATCATTTACTTTCTCGCATAGTAAGGCAGCCAGGCTCGGTGGCTCAGCCTGTAATCCCGCACCTTTGGAAGGCTGAGGTGAGTGGATTGCCTGAGCCCGCGGGTTCGAGACCCGCCTGGGCAGCGAGAGCTCATCTCTACAATAAATCAAAAAATCAGCCAGGCGTGGTAGCGCATGCCTGTAATTCCAGCTACTTGGAAGTCTGAGGCGGAAGGATCACCGGAGCCCAGCAGGTCAAGGCTCCATTGCACTCCAGTCTGGGCGACATAGTGAGACTCCAACTCAGAAAAATAAAAAAAATTTAAAAAAATAAAAGTAAGTAAGGCAGTTTTCCAGAAATGACTGTAACTTATTTGAAAGTGATAAACGAGAAATGAGGAAATAATTGCTGGAGCTGAGCTCCTAAGCAAATGAGATTGGATGGGATCAAATAAGACCAGTGTAGCAGAACTTTAATAAGATTGGGATACGTTCTTTACTACTGGACTTAAGAGTGAAACAGATTTTTTTTTTTTTTTTTTTTGAGTATACAGGGTTGAGATTGTAAATTTGGTGGTGAGAATTAGAGGTTTTCTTCACTGAGAAGAGGTATGCTCTTCTTTAAGATGACTCTAGGCGAGGTGTGATCTTCCTGTGTTATCACTAGTTCTAAGCAAATGGCTCCTATCCCAAAAGCACACTCACCACAATTCCTTCCTGCAAGACGATTCATGAGATAGGACTTCCCTGTACGATATATTCCTGTGATGGCCACCACCACCACAGGTTGTGAAATGTTTTCAAGAATCTGCAATGCTTCTGGATTCACTGCCAGCTGCTCCTTCTCGTTTTCCACAAGACAAATGGGGGCCTGCATGGTGGATTCAGATGCCATGGTAACCTGCAAACCCCCAAAAGAGCTGCTCAGTCTAATACAACATCCCAAAGTCATATCTAATGGCTACATAAATCACATATATACCAGCTTTCTTCTTGTGGGCTATGTAGAGCAACTCCTCATGTTTTGCACATTTGTAAGGGAAAAATATGTATCCCAATGTGTCAATGCCCACTACATGCATTATCTTATAATTTATATATTCCATTATGTACATTATCTTATTGATCTTTAAATAAAACCTAAAACAACTTCCTCCAGGGGACGTATAAAATGAATAGAACCAGAAAAGCGAAAGACTTATGATGGAGGTCTTAGACACTAAGATGTTGTGGGCAAGTAGAGGCCAAATGAGACATGAAAATTATGGAAAAGTAGTCAGAAAAGTTTCTAGGAGTTCTAAATCAATATGGAGTCTCACTCAGATCATCACATGTATATCAAATATTACCAGTGCTGGGCACTGGGCTAAGAGCTTAATATGTAGCAATGAACAAAATGGATACAAATTCCTGCCTTCTGGAGCGCTATTCTAGTAGGTAGGGAGGGGAAAGACAGATAATAAAACAAATAAGCAAAGACACATATGTGCTTTAGATGATGGTACGTGCTATAGAAAAGAGAAGCGGGAATAAAAAATTTAGAGTGTGGGGGTTGGGCACAGTGGCTCATGTCTGTAATCCCAGCACTTTGGGAGGTAGAGGCGAGAGGATTGCCTGGGCAACCTGGTAAGACCTCGTGTCTACCAAAAAAAAAAAAAAAAAATCAAGAAATTAGCTAGGCATGGTGGCAGGCACCTTGTAGTTCCAGCCGCTTGGAAGGCTGAGGTGGGAGGATCGCCTGAGCCCAGCAGATGGAAGCTGCGGCGGCCATGAGTATGCTACTGCACGCCACTCCAGTCTGGGCGACAGAGTGAGACTCCGATTCAAAAAAAAAAAAAAAATTCAGGGCGTGGTGATAGGGAATAATGCGATTTGAATTTATATATGGACAATGCTGAGAAATGGATGTGATCAGCGACTTTAATGTGAGAGTTAGTGAATGTGGGAGCAGGACATGGATGAGATGGAAAACTGACGATGAAAGAAGGAAGAAAGAAAGAAGGAAGAATGCAGCTCTTTTTCTTTTTCTTTTGAGTTGGAGTCTCACTCTGTCGCCCAGACTGGAGTGCAGTGG